ACTCTACCACTGAGCCACCTTCCAGCCCAGGAAGAAGTATCTTGAGATCCTGACTGAAGAAAGATTTCTAGAATTAAAAATTGTATAAGAAATGATAAGAGGGTGTTGACCTATGTAAAATATTTAGGAATATTAATTACTTTGATGTTCTAACTTTGATGTTCTTGTTATTTACAAATGTTCTAAATTTGTAATTTCAGCATTCAAGAGAAAGATGAGAAGTTAAAGACTGTAGAAGAATTACTTGAAGCTGGACTTATTCAGGTGGCCACTAAAGAGGAGGAACTGAATGTAAAACATTTCGTAGATTTGTTTTTCTTGTGCTTATTTAATGAATATCAAGGGGTTTGGTTCTAATTGTATGAGATTTCCCTATATCTCTTACCTTACTCGTTATATAGGTTTATAAAATGTCCTTTTTCATTAAGTTTAAGATTTCTTTAGAAATACACACACACATACATAGTTGATTTAGCTTTCACTGCCTTAATGAGGTAGATAACTGTTGTTGGGTTTGATAATAAATGTTTCCTCACTGGCACATTATAAACAAATGATTACTAGCAGACTTCCTAATTCCATGGAGGTTAGAGGTTAGAGACGTTAGAGAAAGAAAAGTTCAGTTCTGTTTTATTATTCTCTTTAGATTTAACTAACTGGGTAGAAATAAGGTTCTTAGGAAAATAAGTTGGTGTACTATGTATTTTTTGGAAATATAAGTAGAAATACATAGGTGGTAATTGCGTCAGAATACTAGTTGGCTAGCTGTAGAAGTTAAAAAACTGTAGACATGAAATTTGGGGCCTTCCTAAGAGTAAAAAATCAGCTAAAGATAAGGAAAAGCTAATGTGTTTTGAAACTTGCTAATTTTTTAGGAAATAAAATTATGTTGTGCTTACATGTCTTTGCAAAGGCTCTAAGAACAGAAAATTCAACCCTGATGGAAGAAGTTCAAGCTTTAAAGGCTAAGCAAAATGATCAGGTAATGTAGATTGTAGATTCTACAACTGTTCTCTTTCAAACATTCAGCAAAATTGCTATATAAAAACACAAGTCTGTTGTTTGTCTCTTTCTCCTCCAAGGGGAAATTTAATTAGTGACATGATTGGTAATCATGCTGAAGTTTATTGATAACTGTATGCCAGGCATTGTGTAGATTACACTTAATAGGATTTTTTTTTGGGTCCGGTCGTGGGGCCTAAACTCTGGGTTTGGGCGCTGTCCCTTAGCTCTTCAGCTCAAGGCTAGCTCTCTACCACTTGAGCCACAGCACCACTTCCGGCTTTTCTCTTTTTGCTTATGTGGTGCTGAGGAATCGAACCCAGGGCCTCAGGCATGCAAGGCAAGTGCTTTACCACTGAGTCACCTTCCCAGCCCAATAGGATTTTTTTTTATTATATTGATAGAAGTTTTTGCATATACAAATGGTAATTAAGGCTTTAAATATAAAGCAGTTTCCTAGTTATATTTTCTCATTAGGTGAAATTTCTTAATAATTTAAATATTTAATGCTTCTTATGGCCTATATTTTAAAATAAAAGTTAAGTGTATACTTTTGTTTTTATCATCATGACATTTAAAAAACTATAAAGAATTCTTGGGTTTTCTCATTTGGATTCTGGTGTAGAGGCAAATTTACAAGTTGTATGCTTTTTCTGGCCTAGTTTGGACAAAATTGCTAAGATTCCTTTGTATTTCAGGTTTCTTTTGCATCTGTAGTTGAAGAACTTAAGAAAGTGTAAGTGATACCATTATAATAAACTAGTCTTTTTCTTTTGGAGTCTTTTTTTCAAAAATAATCATAAATCTATTTTTTACGTTTAGTTGGGATACCTAATGTATGCTAGTTTTAATTTTCACTGTAGAATTTTTCATTAATGGTTAAGGAAATTAGCCATGTTGTCTCAAATCTAATATAACTTTAACAAAAACATCAGTTTCCATAATTGATTGCGTTTGTTTTCATGTGATATCAGATTGTTACTTGTTTTGTATGTTGCAGGAGTAGCTATTAAAGAACAGATGATTTTTTATATAGAGATAAATCTTTGCATGTATGTTGTTGTTGAAATTTGATGTCATAGTTATATGTTGTGCCATAGCTTTCGAAGGCCTAGAATCTTATTAATGAAACATGATTTTCTCTTATGTTCTTCATGGGACAAATCTTAAATTTATGTAAAGCACACCACCAGCCTTATGTATGCCTCCTAGATTTTAATCATCTAGTAGTTGCTGAAGAATTCTCATTTAGCAGGAGCTTTTAAGTGCTTGTTTCCCTTCTTTTGCCTGCAAACATAAGTTGATATTTTATTTAAAACTAGGAGTTGATTTAGAAAACTTTCATGATTTTTTTTATTACTATCAAAAAACTCCAAAAAACTTATTTGGTAAATTTTAATGATTTCCATCCAAATTAATGTATCATTTGTTCATTTAAGGATCCATGAGAAGGATGGAAAGATCAAAACTGTAGAAGAGCTTCTGGAAGTTGAACTTCTCAAAGTTGCTAATAAAGAGAAAACTATTCAGGTATGTATACATACATATATGTATGTATGTGTATATATATATATAGAGAGAGAGAGAGAGAGAGAGAGAACAGTGTTTGACTTTTCTGTTTATCAAGTTTAGTTAATATCATTTAATTTTATGTTTGTCTGTGCATTGCATTTTTTTGGTCAACTTCTGTGTTTCCATAGTCCAATCTCGTCTATTTTGTCATTGTCAAGGATTTGAAACAGGAAATAGAGGCTCTAAAAGAAGAAATAGGAAATGTCCAGCTTGAAAAGGCTCAACAGGTAAAAATCCCAGAGCCGTAGCATGACAGATTTATTAGTGTATGTATTATTTATGAGCTATTTGTTGTTCTTTTTACTCAGAAAACAATTTGTAATAGTGTACTTTATGTATACTGAGTTTAAGTGCTTTACTTTTTTGCCCGAGTTGACCAAGAGTCCTTGATATTTTAATCTATTATCTTTAAAAGCTTTTAACAAGGCCCTTTTCTAGGAAGTTTTCTGTATTAATGCTTTAGTTTGCCAAAATACTCATAAACTCTTTTTTAAGCCCCTCATTATAAAAATAGATAAACTGCATGGACCAGATTTTCTTATATAATGTGTATTGTTAAACCTTTGCCTCTAGAACAAAATATGAAGTTTCTATAGAGGATTCCAGAGGTAGACATGATTACTAGAAACATAGGCATTTTATTACAATTAATTTGATAAATATTCATTGAAAAAAAGATAGCATGGAAAAGAGAATTCATTCATTCAGCAGATTCATTCAACAATATTTATGGAATTCCTTCTACTTATTATAGTCTTGTGCTAATGATTAAAGATAATATGTTAAGTAGTTGAGAGTTCAGGAGAGGCTTGCTGAAGCACTGACTGTAAGCCAAGATCTAAATGGATTATGGGAAGAGAATGGAGGTGGTGAAAGGTGCTATTAGATTGTATGACCTTTTAAAAAGGTGATAAGGAAGGACAGTCAGAGTACCATTGAGTAGTGGGTATTAAAAAATGAGGCTGACAGGAGTTCTGATACTGTAGAGAAGGGAGGTGTGAGAACAGTTAGATAATATGCTTAATCTTCACAGCTATAGAAATATCACATTATTTAGACTTATTATAATCATCTTATCCTTTCACAGTTAAAGTTTTAGTTTGATACTAAAACACAAAGCACGAATACAAATAAAACACAAACTATGTGTTTGAAAATAGAACACATGTTGGTATGAAATTGACATCTTTGCAGTTTGAGATCTTTTAATTTGAAGTGTGCATATTATAAATATTTATGAAGCTTAATAAGTTAAATTAAAAGATTATAAGTTACTTTTTCTGTCCTTTTTATTTTAGTTATCTATCACTTCTCAAGTTCAGGAGCTTCAGAATTTGTAAGTACCATTTTTCTAATTACCCTATTTTCCACCAATAAGACATACCGAAAATCAGTTAGTTTGATCTCAGTGTTTTAGAAAGTGCCAAATTAGTTTAAAAGGACAAAGTTCTTTAAAATTTTTCATTATTCTTCAACCTATTAGTTTTTTGGTGGGATCAAAGTTTCATTTTTCTTTGACTATAATTTGAATATGGCCTTAAGCTTGAGTTGTTGCATTCATTTTAATGGCCATGTGGAACTGGCATTTCATACTCAAACTAGTTGTGTTTGTTTTTTTTTTTGGTCAGTCGTGGGGCTTGAACTCTGAGCCTTGGCCTGGGCCTGGGTGCTGTCCCTGAGCTCTTCAGCTCAAGGCAAGTGCTCTACCACTTGAGCCACAGCAGCACTTCTGGTTTTCTGGTGTTTCATTGGAGATAAGAGTCTCATGAAGCCGGGCGCTGGTGGCTTACGCCTGTAATCCTAGCTACTCAGGAGGCTGACATCTGAGGATCGCGGTTCAAAGCCAGTCCGGGCAGGAGAGACTGTGAGACTCTTATCTCCAATAAACCACCAGAAAACCGGGAGTGGTGCTGTAGCTCAAGTGGTAGAGCACTCGCCTTGAGCTGAAGAGCTGAGGGACAGCGACCAGGCCCAGAGTTCAAGCCCCACGATGGACAAAAAAAAAAAAAAAAAAGAGTCTCATGATTTACTGAAGAGGCTTTCTTCCACCCTATTTTTTTGGCTCCCTCATTGAAGATTGGGTGCCTATAAGTCTGTGAACTTATTTCTGGGTCTTTGGTTCTGACCATTGGTCATGAATACAAGAAGTTTTTCTTTGTTGTTGTTGTTGTCAATGTAGTATATGATTTCTTTTTTCTTTTGTGTTTTTTTTCCCTATAGTGTTGGATTTTGGTACCTTAGATATTGTATACATGTTTATATGAGCTAGGGAAGGGGAACAACAAAATGGTGAGACAAAGGGGGAACCTATGCAACAGCAATACTCACAAGACAAGATGTTGGAAATGATCTGTACAACTTGCAGGGAGAGGGAAAGATGGAGAAAAATGAGGGAAGGGGTAACAAGTTAGACTACCTTACTTAAGTAACTGTAACCTCTCTGCACATCACCTTGACAATAAAATAACAAACAAAAATGGGCTTTCTTATCTAGGCTGGTTTTGAATCACAATCCTTAGATCTCAGCCTCCTGAGTAGCTAGTATTATAGATATGAGCCACCAGTGCCTGGTATACTCAAATCAGTTTTAATGAGATGTCCAACTTTGCTGATAATAGTTTAAGATAACTGATTCATTCTATATCTGGATATTTCATGATAGTTTTTTTTTTAACTGGTTCCAGGGCTTGACCATGCAGTGACTCACATTCTCAGCTCTACCACTTGAGTCATGCCCCAGCCCAGCCTTTTGTTAGTTAATTGGGGATGTAGTCTCAAGGTGTTTTCAACGTGGGCTGACTTTGAATCTTAGTCATCCAGAACCAGCATCCTGAGTTATAAGTGTTCCTGTAATGCCACTGGCTTCTGGTGCAAAGCAGTTTTTAAATCATCATATAGTCCCTAATTTGATTATTTCTCCAAAATCTCTTCTACTTTAAGTACTTTTTAGTTTATTTTAATCAGTTTGGACTCAGAACTACCTGAAACATACTTTCTAGGCTTGAGTACTTTTGTTTTTTATGGTCATCTGATATTTTCATTTGTAGTAATTACCAATTTATTTTCAGATTAAGAGGAAAGGAGGAACAGATGAATACTATGAAGACTATTTTAGAAGAGAAGGAGAAAGACCTGGCGAGTAGGGGGAAATGGCTACAGGTGAGAAGTTAAAAACAAAAGTAAAAAACAACTTCAAAATAATTGAATATCAATTCACACTTATTATTTTTAAGGATCTTCAAGAAGAAAATGAATCTTTAAAGGCTCATATTCAGGAAGCAGCACAATATAACTTGCAAGAGGTATAGTATAAACGTATCTCCAACATGCTACATAAGGAATGAGAAACCTTTATATAAGGTCCTGGAAAGTAAAGAAGTCAATATATTTTCTGTTTGCCAGTAAAACCATGTTGTATCATAATTTTGTTATTGTTGTTAAAATAAGTTAGTTTTTAATTCCTGTCAAAATCTATTTGTCTGATTTGTAAAATGTAAGCTTACAAGCATTTCCTTTTTCTTTTTTCAATTGCACTCCAAGCACTTTGAACTGTGTTGAGTTGGTGTACTAATCTGTAATACTTCATGAAATAAATAATTAAAATTTAAGTTTTATAGAGAAAACTTTTCTGTCCTTGTGTGTTACAAATGTTCTAATCTAAACTTTACTACATAATTACATTTTTACCTTACTGGTGAGTGATTCTGCATATATAGTGTAGTACCTGGTTTGTTTTGATGTTAGTATTATAAATGTGAATCTGTTTCTTAGGCATGTTCTGCATCACGATTTGAAGAACTTGAAGTTGTGTAAGTATACTTTTAGCTAGTATTTTGAAGAACTTCTCTTTATTTTCCAGAATGTGCTGAAAGTCCATGATTCCTCTTAGGAATCATGTTAAGTGTTCAGTGTTTAAAGTGGTACAGTTCAGAAGCAAATAAGGCAAGTCTCTGTAGTAATATTGCAGAGGCTCTTTAAATGGTTTGGGATATCTGAAGGTTTTATCCTTTTCAAACCCATCTAATGTGGTTTCTCAAATATTCTTTCTGTAAAGATAGACTTTTTAAGTTGTTTTAAAAAAATCAAGGTAATTATTGTAAAAGGTAATTAATTTCAAATCAGAAGGTTATAGCTATAATACTGGTAATGGATATCATATCCATTATTAAAGGGGAAAATAGGACTTGCTGTGTTTGTTAAGTGCTGAATAATAAACTGACTCAGCATGAGATGTCATTCTTTCAAATATTCATTTAATCCTATAAAATATCTGTGTTCTGTACACGAAATCAGTCATTACTGGTGAAGAAGGGAATCGAGACCTCAACTTTTCAAGTAAGATATTGAAAGTATTTATTAGATCACTTGTAATGAAAGCAAGGTAGATGACTCCTGGATCCAAGATTGTACATTCATAAAACAAATTGTTTTTCCCTTGGGCATCATATAACTCTCAAAGTTCTTTTGTCTGCTAATAGCCTCTAGACAAAATTGTGGCCCTTACATAGTTTATATATATATATATATTATATATATATATATATATATATTACTAAGTTATATATAATAGTGGGCTTATTTTTGCTTTACATTTTTCTTGTCCTTTTCTTTATAAATTATAGCAGTTTAGGTTTATAGAAACAAGAGAGAGGTACAGAGAGTTCCTGTTACTCTCTGCATTTCCCCTGTTAGTAAAGCATTAACTAAAGGCCACATTTTCTATTAGCGCTTACTTGGTAGGATTTAACCAGTGTAAAATGACAATATTTCCATCATTACAGTATTAAATAGAATAGTTTCATTGTCCTAAAAACCTCTCTTACCTACATTTTAATTCTACTGTCCCTTAAATTACTCCCCTGGGCTCAACCCTTGAATTCCTATCAAGTACTGTTGTGTGCGCGCGCGCACACACACACACGCACACACACGCACACACACACGCGCGCGCACGCGCGCATACACACACACACACACACACCAGCTATTGAGATAATTTTGCCTTTTCTAAAATGTCATATTGAAACTATACAGTATGTAGCCTTTTCAGATAGTTTAAAAAAATTAACAAATGTACCCTTAGTCCTCTCCAACCTCCTTCTCCCTTCTTTCCTCTCTTCCCTCCCTCCCTCCCTCCCCTCCTCCCTTCCTTTCTCCCTTCCTTCCCTTCTTCCCTTCTTTCCCTTCCTTCCCTTCCTTCTCTCCCTTCCCTCCCCTCCCTCTGTCCCTCCCTCCGTCCCTCCGTCCCTCCCTCCCTCCCTCCTTCTTTCTCTCTCTCTCTCTTTCTCTCTCTCTCTCTTTCTTTCCCTCCCTCCCTCCTCCCCTCCCCCTCTCTTTCTTTCTTTCATCTTGGGGCCTCGTGCTAGGTAATACTCTTGTTGCTAAAATATAGAAAGAAATGGCTGGTAGGCAATGAACTATCTTCCATAGGAGTGATATTAGAGTCTGGTTTTTGTTTATGTATATTAGTAAAATAAGATCTTTAAAAAATTTAGGTTGAAAGAAAAGGAAAATGAAATGAAGAGAGTAAAAGCTATGTTAAATGAGAAGGAGAGTGATCTTTCTAGCAAAACACAGCTGTTGCAGGTAAATATGATTACTTGAAATTAATTTTTGGGTGGATTTGTTGTCTGTGTAATTTTTTTTTTTTTTTGGTTGGTTGTGGGTCTTGACTCTGGTTCTGGGCACTGTCCCTGAGCTCTTCAGCCCAAGGCTTGCACTCACTCTTACCACTTGAGCCACAGCGCCACTTCTGGTTTTCTGGTGGTGTATTGGAGATAAGAGTCTCACAGACTTTCCTGCCTAGGTTGGCTTTGAACCATGATATTCAGATCTCAGCCTTCTGAGTACCTAGGATTATAGGCATGAGCTACTGGCACTTGGCTGATTTTGTGTTTTTATTAAGATTTTTTATTATTATACATAAGTTGTGCAAGTGGGCTTTCTTTTAAAAATGTTTTTACTATCTTTAAGTAGTAATTCAAAGGAGTTGCTATTCACCAAAACAGTTCATGAATACTGTACAGTTGCATCAGTGTCACACCTTTTAACATTCTTATCCATCTCTTCCCACCCACCTCTTCCCTTAATTTTATGTTATGTATTGAGTTTTTTTTGCCATTTAACAAAGCAGTTTATATGTATAATTCATCTTGATTGGTGTCATCACTTCAACATCTTCATCGCCCTTCAGCTGTGGTATATACAATGAATTCTTGCCTGCATTTTGTCCCCTTCCCCCCTTCATTCCTCTATTCCCTCTTTCCTTGGCCCCAGCAAGTGGGCTTTCATCATAGTATTTTTGTACATGTATACAGTGTACCCCAAGAACCCTCACATCCTTAAAACAAGTTCAACAGGTTTCATTGTTCTATTTTCATATGTGCTGCTGCTGTTATTATTGTAGTACAGGGGTTTGAATTCAGGGCCTTGCATTTACTATGCAACTACTCTTTGAAAATTTTGGTAAGGGTTTAGTATAATAAAGTTAGAGTAGGAAGAAATTGAGAAGAAACTTTTTTGCTTTTTGATTGTAGGAAATGGAATTTAAAGACTCAAGCCATTCTGCTACTTGAGCCATGCCTTCAGCCTGTTTTTTTTTTTTGTGGTTTGTTTCTTGGGTTTTTTGGGGGGACCAGTCCTGGGGTTTGAACTCAGGGCTTGGACACTGTTGTCCCCGAGCTTCTTTTGCTCAAGGCTAGCACTCTACCATTTGAGCCACAGAGCCACTTCTCACTTTTTCCTGTTTATGTGGAACTGAGGAATTGAACCTAGGGCTTCATGCATCCTAGGCAAACACTCTGCCACTAAGCCACATTCCCAGCCCCCAGCCTATTTTTATATATATATTTGTGTGTGTGTGTGTGTGTGTGTATGTGTGCATATGTATGCATGTATACATGCATATATATGCATGTGCACACACGTGCTGTACAAGTGTACTTGCTGGTTCTGGGGCTTGAACTCAGGGCCTGGGTGCTGTCTCTGAGCTTTTTGCTGAAAGTCTAACTCTCTACCACTGTGACACAGCTCCATTTTGGCTTTTTGGTGGTTAAAGACAGAAATCTTATAGATTTTCCTGCTTAGACAACCTTTGATTCAAATGTGATCCTCAGATCTGAGTCTCCTGAATATCTAAGATAACCATCATGAGTCTGGCTGTTTTTATATGTAGTTTTTAAAAGTAGGACTGGGAAGATGGCTCAGTGCTAGAGTACTTGCCCAGCATGCATGAGGCCCTGTGTTTGATTCCTCAGCATCACCTAAGCAGAAAAAGCTGGAAGTGGTGCTGTGGCTCAAGTGGTAAAGTACTAACTTTGAGCTGAAGAGCTGAGGGACAGTACCCCAAACCCAGAGTTCAGGCCCCACAACTGACCAAAAAAAAAAAAGTAGACTAAATTGCTTTAAGAGAAATAGAAAACAGATAAATATTCTCATCAAGATAATGGTTCTTATTCCTTAAAGAAAACTACTGTCTACGCTGGTTATATCTTCTGAAAAAGTGTCTATTACTACTATTTTTGAGAACCTTATATAAATATATATCTACCTTTAACTTTTGTTGTTTTTATTTCCAGTTTTTGCTGTGCTAGTAATTGAACTCAGGGTCTTGCACACTGGCTTAGGCAAGTGCTTTACCACTGAGCTATATCCTTAGCCTCTGAATTTTTCCTCCTCTTGGTGGTACTGGTGGTTGGAATCTTGGCCTCTCATGCTTCTTGAGCAGGCATCTCACTTAAGCTATGTGTGTAAAATCTTTTCTGTAAACCAAACCAGTGTTTCTATTATTGATCTATGTCCCTTGGAACTGTTTTATTTTATCTTGTTTTTCTTAAATAATGTCTTGGTATGTAGCCCACACTATTCTTGAACTTGGTAGATAGCCTAGGCTTGTTCTCCTGGAGCCCTTCCTGTCTTTGTCTCTCCAGTGTTGAAATAATAATAAGCATTCCCAATAATAAGCATTTAACTCTTAATACCTTCAAAATGTTTTATGGTTGTATCATTGTTTATATAATTGAGGTTGATAGTTCCTAAAGTATTTAGTGTGTTTTTTTAAAGTCATACATAATGCTACACTGATCATTCTTGCATACACAGTATGAATGGTTTTGTAAATCTGTTACAGATTACTGAAAGTAAAATTCTGGGTCAAAAATTTATTCAGGCTTTGTTGGTTTTTAGAGGTAATTTAAATAGAAAGACATTGTCTCCTCACCTACATTAGTAATTAAAAGTACTTCTTGGAGATTTGAAGTGCTAGCAAATTTGTAGATGCTTTCAGTGTCTTAAACCTGTCTTGCTCCCACTCGGTACTCCAAGGATTGTCATATTTCCTCTGCCTGCCAATTATGCTCAGTTTTAGTTTCGTTAAATAATGCTAAATTGTCATCCAAAATATATTTTAATAATTTATAATATTGCCAGTGAAGAATTGTTCCCCTTTTTCAATGCTGAAAAATGATGAAAACATTCAATATTACACTTGAAAGGTATATTATAAAATGTATTTGATTGTGAGAAAAGTTAAACATTCTTCAAAAGTTTAAGCCATACATGTATGAATTAGTTTTTAATTTTTCCAACATTTTTTTCTTCCAGGATGACTTTTTCTTAGCAAGTTATGATTATTTTATATAATAAACTAAGTTTTTATTATATGAGGAAATTTGTTTTTTCCTACTTGTTTTGAGTTTTCTTTTTTTGTGATAGTATCACTATGTAGCTCAGGCCTTGAATGACACTGCTACTTCAGCCTCCTGAGTACTAAGGTTACACAGTGTGTCCCACTATGCCCAACTTTCTTTTGAATTTATTTATATTTTCCCTTCTCTTTTGAAGGTTAGAATCCTCTTCCCCCCCCCCCCATTCTGGTACTGGGGGCTTGTACTCAGAGCCTGATGTTCTTGGTTGGTTTTTTTGTTTTTTTTTACTCACAGCTGTTGCTCTACCAGTTCCAGCTGTGTTGATTAACTGAAGATAAAAATAAAAGTCACTCAGATTTGTCTGCCTATACTGAAATCCTCAGAACTCAGGGTTTTGAGTTGCTAGGATTATAGGTATGGGCCACCAGTTCTTTGATTAGTTTAATTTTTTTTTTTCCTGGTACTGGTTTTTATACTTGTACCTCAGGGCCGATATTGTCCTTGAGCTTTTTTATTCCAAGGTTAGTACTCCTCTACTTGAGCCAGAGCTCTACTTGGAAGTTTTTCCTGGTTAATAAGAGATGAGAGTCTTCAGGTTTTCCTGGACTGGCTCTAAGGCCATCCTCAGATCTTAGCCTTTGGAATAGCTAAGATTGTAGGCATGAGCCACTGGCACCCAGCTGGTTTAAAACTTTTTTTTTGGTCCGGTCGTGGGGCCTGAACTCTGGGCCCTCTTCAGCTCAAGGCTAGCGCTTTACCACTTGAGTCATAGCACCACTTCTGGCTTTTTTCTTTTTGTTTATGTGGTGCTGAGGAATCGAACCCAGGGCCTCAGGCATACAAGGTGAGCGCTCTACCACTGAGCAACCTTTCCAGCCCCATTTAAAACTTTTTTATACTCAAATGTAAGTTTCTTTTAAGTCTTAGGGAGAATGGAATCTTTCACTTGTAATTATTAAAGTATTCTCACCTGTTTTACTAAATTTACAACTTCCATTTTATTTAGATTTTCAAATATATATAATTTATTTCAGGTTGTTTTATGGAATAGCTTTCTACTAATTTTTTTAAAAGGTTAGCTACATCATTACATGATCCATATTAGCTTGGGATGAAGCCTCAAGACATGAGGCTCTGAGTTTAAGTCCTACCTTCAAAAAACTCTGCCCCAGAGATGGCACTGTGGCTTAAGTGGTAGAGCACTAGCCTTGAGCTGAAGAGCTGAGGGACAGTGCCCAGGCCCAGAGTTCAGGCCCCATGACTGAAAAAAAAAAAAAAAAATCTCAGCATAGTGTTTAAACACTGATCTAGGTGCAAGGCCACTTGAAGCAAGTTTTATGTTTGGTTGTATTTTCTTTGTATATTATAAACATTGAAACTTGTTGCAGTTTGAAGTAAATTTCCAAAATGTATGCTTAACAATAATCATTAAAATGTTTGGAGCATACAAAAAACCCCAAAAACCCAATCCATTATAATTTCCGCAGTTTTTCCCAGGAGACATTTAGCAATACCTGGAGACTTCTTGGTAGGAGAGAAATGCTAGTGCAACCACTAGATGGAGGTCATGAAAATTGCTAAATGTCCCACAGTGCCTAGGACAGTACCCTAAAACAAAGGTATATCAAGTCTAATATATCACTAGTGTTGAGTTTGAGATACTGTGTCCTACTCAATTCACATGTCCTAGATATACATCTACCCGTACTTGGGTCTACTTTCCAAAACTATTTCGTTCCACTGAGACATACTGACTCCTAAACTGCTACTAAATATACATGATAATTACATAATATATTTTAATATATTGCTTATCATATCCTTTTAAAATAGTTTTGCAAATTTTGTAGATTATATATGTTTCAACAGCTTATAAAGGAAATAAATCTCTAGGTGTTCATGTTTAATTTTTGTTTAAATAGGAGTTACAAGATGAAAATCAGCTGCTTAAATCTCAAATTGAACAGATCAAGCAGGAGAACTACCAACAGGTTGGTACTATTAGATATCTTGTCTTTGATTTGTATAGCAAAAAAATGTAACTCATGACTGTCTATAACATTCTTGCCATTTTTAAATTTCATTGAGAATAAAAGATTCTCTTACTGCTTTTCTATAAAAGAAAGCAATTTGCTATGCAATATTTAAGATAAAATACAACTTATGAAAATATACACACAAGTATTACCGTGTGTATTACAGCTTTAAATCTTCTAGAATGCTTCTAGCTGGTCTATTTAAAATAAGTGGATCTTCTCCTTAAACAAACATCAGTAACTGGAGGGAATCTAACAAATATGTAAGTTAGAAGCAACAGCCTGTTACTACTTAAAACTGTTTCAAGATGTAATTCTACTTGGTAAAAATAAAATTAAAATAATGATTTTTAGAAAAACATATATCCATAGTTTTCTTTACTTGGTAAACCAGACTAGACCATATGTATTTTGAAAGATAAAGAATTAGAAGGCCTATTGACATATAGTTTCTGTAGTTAAGGAGTTTGTAACCAAGGAATAAATACCATATATGTCAGTAGTGTACTTGCGCATATTATGTAAAATTAACTTTTCTGTTGTGCTCGGTAACTAACTTTGGGATTTCATTTAGTTTTTGTCTTTCCAAAGCTTAAATTTTTTAAAATAGTAAAATTTAAATTAAACTGCTGTATACCTAGGAAATAAATTCTTATTAAATGAAGATTATTTGTAGCCACAGTGAAGGTTGGAATTAGCACTTAATTCATTTTATAAATAATTTTTTATTACCACATGGTTAAAGTCAAAGTTCTAGCATGTGGAATACTTTTTTATCTTCATTGTTGTCTTAATTTATATGTGAGAATTTAATTTTGTTGTTGTAAGGAATGCTTTAATTTGAAATGACACTTAATTTTTTTAATAGGCCCCTTCTTTTCCCCCTCACGAAGAATTACTAAAAGTGTAAGTAATACGTTTGATTGACAGTTTGGGAAGTAGTAAACTTTTTATATGCTAAATTATAGTTCTTAAGGAAGCAATTTAGTGTAACTGTTATAAACATCACTAACTTCAGTGGTTGTACTCTGACCTACTATCAGTGTATTGCAGCTTTGTCTTTGGCTGATGTGCCTATTGCATCATGAATTTCTTCTATTTTGTTATGAGAGATGCTTGGGTTTTTTGTTTTGTTTTCTTTTTAGGCATTCAGAAAATACTGAATCAAATTAAGCTCTAGTTGAAAGGCTTTATCTTCAGATTGCCTCAGATATCCTACTGTGTGTCCTTTGTTCTGGATCTTGTGTAATTGAATGGTTTAGATTTTGGCTTACCTCTTCCATTTTTAAGAAAACTTAGAAAAAACTACTGCTGACAAGAAAAATGGTTCAGAAAAAAAAGTCACCTTCAAAGAGAGCACCAATAGAGCTCCTAAAAGGCTAGTAATTTAAATCATTTCTAATAAGTTACGTTTCAACATGCCAAAAGCCAACCACATGAAATATTTTAATATATAATGCAGGTATTCCAAATGTTTTCTAATTTGGCTTGTTTATAAAGTAGGTTCTTTACTATTTTAAACTGAGTCCTGTGGTTGACTGTAGAAAGCATGATTTGCCATCTACCTCTAAGTCCAGCTTTGAAACATTTTTGATAAAGGGCCTGGTAATGAGTATTTTAGGCTTTGTGGGCCAAAAGAGCCTTTTTGTTTCATTCTGTGTTTTTTTTTTTTTTTTTTAAGTAAGAGATACTTTTAAGAACATCAACACAAGTTGGGTGTAGCATTTCACATATGTAGTACCAGCTACTTGGAATGCTGGATGAGATCATGAGATCTTGTCTCAAAAAAAGGTATCAACAGCTGTTGGTTCAGACCAGATGATGAGCTGGTCAATCCTATACCTATTTGTGGATGTGAGGGTCATCTAGCTGTAACATCTGTTACTTTAATGCCTTATTGATCACCAGAGTTGATTCACTTGATGAGGCTGACTAGGCATTTATCACTTTCCCCTCTTTCACTAGTTCATGTATGTCCCTCTTGAAGCTGCACACTCTGCTAAAGAGGATAACCTTCCCCATCTTAGAAGGACCATTCTTCGGTTAGTGGTATATGAGCAACTGTGCTCTCTTGCTAAGATCTCCAAATAGCTCTTAAGAAATAGCTGCCTGATTTATCTCTAGTTGTTAGTTTCTTATATATAGTCTTACTGTTTTTTTTTTTTTTTGTTGGTTGTGGGGGTTGAATTCTGGCAGTGGGCACTGTCCCTCAGCTCTTCAGCTCAAGGCTAACGTTCTACCACTTGAGCCACAGCACCACTTCCACCTTTTCTGCTTATGTGGTGCTGAGGAATCAAACCCAGGGCCTCATGCATGCGAGGCAAGCACTCTACCACTGAGCTACCTTCCCAGACCAGTCTTATTCTTAAGAAAGATATATATTTGTGATTTAACTTTGTGTATAAGCTATTCTTAACATAATGGAAAAAGAATTCCAGATCTACCATGGTTTCTTTGATTCTGAAAAATAACTATATTATTGGCAAAAACATGAATCCTAAGATTGGGTAAAAATGGCAGGAGAACACCAAAATCACTTTAATATATTTTTATTATAGATGAGCCACTTTACTGATTTTCTTGCTTTTAAGAAAAAGAAAAATATCTATCTATCTGTTTGTCATCTATCTCTATCTATCTATCTATCTGGTATTGCCTTATCAGTTTCACTTGGAAAATAACTACTTTAGGAATCCAGGTTAAAAAAAAAAGCAACAGCTCTAACTTTAGCTGTTATAGCTATAACTATTCAGTTATAATAACCAGTTCATGAATTGATTCATATGGGTTGAGATTTTCCTTTAGCACAAACCTAAGCATGCTGTATATATTTGCACAGATTTATTTAAAAATAATTTCTAAAATTAAGAATTCATAGGATAAGGTTCCCATGATATCCTATAGCTAAGCTCTCAAGTTAGTACATTTTTCAAACCTCATTTACTTACTGCTTTTATTGTCAGCTTACTGTTTTTATTTTGTAGTAACAAATATTGATATATAGGTATTTAAGTTATTTACCCAATGTCTAAATTGTATAATGGTTAATCTAAAATTGTTGATTGCCTAAAAAAAATTTACATTCTCATTTAGGATTTCAGAGAGAGAAAATGAAATAATTGGGCTCCAGAATGAGTTAACGTCCTTGAAGAATGCTGTTGAACACCAGAGAAAGAAAAACAATGTAAGGAAATCTTTATTGGAATGAAACTTTGCATAAGTGGTGAACGATGAGATGCTCATGAATCTATTTGTACTTTAGATGTTTTAAATCTTTATAAGAAATTACTATTGATTTATTATGTTGGGGAGTACTATTAACTGTTTAATTGATGAGAAGTTCAAATTTTATGCTTAGAATATCATGATATTCATTATTAATTTGGAATATCATTTAATTTGGGATGTATTTTATATTTTGGAATATCATTGTAGTTGTAATTATTGCATTTTTAAAATTCTTTTAAATTAAAAATGCAGTTGACTTTGTTCAGCTCATACTTGGAAGAATAATTCTTCAAACTTAGCCTTTTAAAATTAGAGGTCTTTCTTATTTAATAAGGTAGCCTTTCTGTAGACTAAAAATAATGCCAATATTCAAACTTAACATGCTCCCTAATCAAATTCTCAAGCCTTCTGAAACTTGCCTTTTAAAACTGAGATTCAGTCTGCTGGAGACCTTAGATTGTTTATTCTTACATTTATACTAAAATAGGAACATTCTCTAGTGCTTTTATTGAACAGATAATTGTAAATATAGATAAATTTTATAAATTCACTTTGCTAGATGATAACCTACAGGTAGAGACTAGCCATTCTTGCTAGAGAAGAAATTTTTGTACACAAAGTGATTATTAAGTCATAAGCAAGACTAAACATTGTTGAAATCTAAGGGGATATTGATATTAAATGGATATATAGTTTGTAAGGTAAGTTAGATTTTTCTGTGTTTGTGTTAAATTGTTAATTTAACAAATTGGAATTTCCTGTACCCCTGAGTTTGTAAAAATTAGGCATGTGAATTGACCTTAGTGTGTTGTGTAATATTAACAGCATTGCTTGATCAAAAAACTGAGGTGAACTTGCCAATATACTACTAATATTTGTATTTTATTGTTGGGATTCTGAGATAAAGAGTACATGATACACTAGCAGCAACAGCAGCAGCAGCACTGATGGCCTTGAAGCATGTGGAAAGAGCCAGCAGGGTGCAGTGTCAGTACATTCTAGTTCTGCCACTCATTTGCTGTTTACAGTTGGCCAGATTTTTTAAATCTTCAGCAGTGGTTTCCTTATCTATAAAATGAGGAAATAACTCATAAATTGCAAGGATTAATGAGGATTTATGAATGCCAAGTACTGTATTTGGCACCTAAGTATTTAATAAAGTGATTAATGGCTTTGTTTAGATTCCTACTTCTGACATAAGACTGAACTGTAGTAAACTATTTTTGTGTACATTTGCTAATGAATTGCTGTTAAAATTTAGATCTTTCAGAGCTGTTTTTACAGACGTTTGCTTTTTGTAAAGAGACTTTTTTATGGTTTCCCAGCTTTCTCTTTTGCCTCAGTCAACAGCTTATATTGTTCGTGTCAGGTTATTTTGTAGTATACATACCATGCCAAGAAAGAAAGAACACAGTGAGTTACTATATCATTCCTAGATAGATTGGAAATATGTTAATTTTGTTAAAACAGAGTTAGAGGAAAAAAATACTGTAGTGTACTGTCTCCTAAAAGATGTTGAGCCTTGTTTTAAAATCACATGGAAGTTTTTTGTAGTACTTACATGTTGTTCTGTTCTTATCCTCTACTGTTTGGTATACTTGTAGTCTTGATTTGTGTCTTTATTTTGTGTGCTTTTTTCTTTGTCACATGTGCATAGTAATATTTTAAAAGCTGGCGTATTAGGTGTGTATACTAAAAAAATGAAAAGTAGGCCTCTTTTCTCATTCAAATTTCTAAACACTTTTTTATTTTTTGCTAATATACATATTTTCCCATTGAAGTAATTTTGCAGTAACCGGCATTTAAATGCAGTGCAAAAATACTGATGAAATAAAAAGCAAAAATCTTTCAATAATAGATAAACTGAAATCATTCTTTCTAAAAATGATTAGGACCTTCGGGAGAAAAACTGGGAAGCAATGGAAGCATTGGCATCAACTGAAAAATTGCTGCAGGACAAAGTGAACAAGACTTCCAAGGTTGTAATGCTAACTCCTAGAAGCAATCCACTGAACAGAGAAAATCTGCAGCTTCTCTTAAAATCAGACTAAAGCATTGAATTTTACTGCAATTTAAATATAAAATCTCCTTATCATCCACATTTATCATCTCTGTCCTCTATGCTTTTTTCATCTATTCCTTGAGGCTTTAATTTTCAGCATGCTATTTTTTTGTTGGGAATGACCTCATCATTAGATATTTGGTAAACTGGAGAGTCTCAGAAGACCTAGGCTATAAATGCAAGCCTTTGTTAGGCAGTGTGCTGATTGGAGTAGTTAAGAGAACTTTGATGAAAACCCCAAAACCTGACTGAATTAGCAAACATATTTACAAACCTGTCATGATTTGTGATGTGTAGTGAACTAGGTTTCTGTGACACACCAAGAAGACTTAGGCAAGGTGGAAAATGATAAAAGTCTTAAGTAGCACAAGAAAGGGATTAGTTCTTAGTGTGTTACTGGGGATAGTTCCTTAGAAGAAGGGAGTTAACTTGGATTTTTAAGTATGATGCTAGTATCATATTTGGTACGGAATATTAGTGTGAAGTAATATTCTTTAGAAAGAGTACTTCAGTACTCCTGAACTATTCCTTTGTCTTCAAAACAATGAAGGACATTCTCCTTGAGCTTAAGTTGTCTATTGTATATAAAGAATTATAATGGAGAAATCAACTGTAAGAATTACATAATACAAATCTAAATATTGTAGATGGGCTAATGAAGGGACCTATATTACTTCCTTCAGCATTATGAGAGTGTTTTGTGTGGCAAGGTAATCTGTTGCAATTTTAAATACGAGTCTTAAGGATATTTGGAAGATTGCTTGGTAGAATGTAGTTTTGTAAACTTTGTTACATTTATATTTGCGGTTTTATTTTCTTTAGTGGATTTATATTTACCTAAAATCTTATTCATCTGTTTAATTTCCACTAAAACTTAAATGAGATAGCTGGTATATAATAGAGAAATTTAGTCAGAGAATAGAAGAATCTAGTTCAGGTAAGATGTTTGCTTCATTATGAGGGATTACGATAGTAATAGTGATTTCTATCAGAAGAGGGCTCTAGTATGATTTTTGCTTGCCTCTACCTTTGTTTTATCTTAAGTTACCTTTTGCTTTTGTTTTGTTAGACTGGATAGCTAGGAACTACTGATCATATCATTAATACAGAAGTGATAATGCCATCCACCAAAGGCATTTTTGCATATTATTCCTAAAGAAAGCTACAATTTATGTTCATGATGGCTTCTTGCATAGCTAATTATCTACAGAGAATGGCATTTTCTGTTGGAACAGAATGTAGACAGGTTTTACATAACATAGGGAATAAAGTGATATTGATTGTCCCAGTGCCACAAGTTGTGTTGTAAGAACTAATTAGAAAATTTTAGTGTAAAACACTAGAAATACAGGTCAATAGACTGAAGTATGACGGAGACTGGAATACTTACTGCCTTTCCAGGGTTATTTATTTTTATTAATTTTTTTCTTTTTGAGACAGGATAAAATACAGCTGTCACTTAAATGAAGATTGTTAAAGGGAAATTATGCCATTCCAATATTAAACCTTTTTTCCAGATATTTAAGTGGAACAGAAATTGCTGTCTACAATCAAACTATTCTTGTCAAATGAAAAATTTTCAGCCAATATTGTTAATAAAGAGTAAAAGTAACTTGTCATCTTTGTGGCTCTGGATTATAATTTAGAGACGTAATTTTTTTTTCTTTGTAAGTTTTAAGAACATATCTGTTCGCTGTCTTTTTTATTGCTTTAGCAGTGATCAAAGTTATCTCTTGTTTCTGAAAAAGCAGTTATTTTCTTTGAATGAAAATATTTTTATTATGTAGTTTATGTATATTCCTAAAGTTGAGCAAACTTTACTGAATCATTGAAAATACCTAAGTAAAACACCTATTCTGAAATATTGCCAATAATCCTTAATAAAGTAACCGCTTTCTGTGTGTAGAGGACATGGTAAAATCTCTAGCTCTGCTGTGTTTAGCTTTAGATTTCCATGTGATTAAATTTTCTGAAATTGAATTGTGTCTATCTGAAGTCAGTAATATATTTCAAAAACATCTGAATGGTATGGGAAAGACATGGCTGAGATGTTGCTAGCTTGCTTGTCTTGCCACTTGTTGAAGTCCCTGGACATTATTATGAGATGGTTTTATTGGCTTGGTTTAGATGTGCATTTTTAAAAATTGTCTTTCTTTTTATACTAAACACCATTTGTAGAGAAATTTAAACATAATTTGGGTGGCGGATGACAGTGGCACTGTGATGAAATTATTTACCCTATTTTGACAAACGATTATTTTGAGTGTATAATTGATACCCATTACAGTTGAATTCATAATCAGCAAATTTAGACTTAAACCATATACAGGTGTCAGATTAATCTTTTTGATGCTTGATGTTAGTAAAATAATATGACATTAGTTTTTCCTTGTTTTCTTCCATTTCTACCACCTATCAAACTTTGATGGTACTTTTGTATAGTATAAATAGATTCATCTAACCTTGAATATGGAAATATGTGGTTTACCATTCTTAGGACATTATAGTCTATTGATGATGTATTTTTTGATGCAGATTTTTAGAAAATTACCATACATTAGTTAAGAGGACTTACATTAGAGTTTTCATTGTAATACTTTTACTCATTTGATTCTTTTTTAAATTAGAGATTTACTAGCCAGTAAGCCTCAGTTATGTTGCCCAGATATATATTTCTTTGTTAGACAGTTGATATTGTTTTATTGATATTGTAGGAGGTGGAGAGTGTATGTGTAGGAGGGTGCTGGGGGGGGAGAGAATATAAATGAACGAATTGTTCCTCTAGTGACAAATTACTTGATTTCTGATGCCAAGGAAAATGTCCATATTGTTAGACATTATTTTGGCTTAATTAATAGTATTATTTTTTAGAATGCTTTAGAGACTGCAGATTTTTTTATGGAAATATTTTTAGTGGTTTAAAATGGGAAAATTGTCATTTGTTAGTATTGAAATAATTTTTCACTGACATTTTCTTCCTCTAGAGGTTAAAATATTGTAGTTTTTTTCTTTTATCAATTCTGTAATCTTCTAATTTTTATTTGGTGTGTCTTCTGCTTTAGGAAAGTCAACAACATATACAGTCTGTTGAATTGGAGGCTAAAGAAGTTCTCAGAAAATTATTTCCAAAAGTATCTGTGCCTTCTAATTTGGTAAGACTAACTTATTATTAACCTGACATTGTTCAAAAAAGTTGTAAATGCACAGCATTTGCACTTAGTCTGCACTTGGTTTTGATTATATATTGATTCCTTAATCTATCCCATTATTAATCCAGGGTAGTTAGAAATAAAAACTTAGTTCACAGCTCATTTGTATTTATTTACATGAAACTTTTATTCTGTTGAGTAAGATTTCTGAGCTTTATTAACACTATAGTTGGGAAAGCGTTTCTGAATAGTCAGTGAAGTTAGTCATATTCCCAATGGCTTTGTTCAATGTAGAACTTAATTTTAAGTGATTACGTCTCAGTTTTAGCAACAATTTATTTCTTATGTATTTGATACTATGAACCAGGCTCTTTACATTTCAGAACTCAAGATTTTGGTCATCTATTAAATTCTTCAAGCAAAAGTCTTGAAGATAATAGAGAACAACTTTATTTACTTAAGGTTGAACATGTTTTAAGTGGGAAAGAAAAGTGGCTTTGGTTCAGAAAAATTAATACAGTAGTATTTGAGAGCAGAGAAGGCCAGTGAGTGTGCATGTGAGTTTCCTAAAACGGTGGGGTAGGTCTTTTTCTATTTGAATAGAAAGTTGTATGTTTTCCAAGGTATTGAGACTAGAATACTGAGTCTAGTTCTCCATTCCAGCAATGATCACTACATGCCTTGAATTAATACATAATCTATTTTGTCTCCCATACCACACTGCTCTATATTACTTTGAAGAAATTCAAGCCTCAGAACATTTCATTTGTAAATATTTCAGTATATTCCTAAAAATAATAATTCCTTTCTTAAAATATTGCTAAAGACATCCTACATTTCATATATTTAGTCAATGTATTCCTCTAGTTACCATAAAATTTTATTTTGTAATTAAATAATAATTCATAGTTATCTACCCACCTACCCACCCACCCACTCACCCAACCTGGGTACTGAGGCTTGAACTCAGAGCCTGGGTGCTGTCCATTAGCTTTTTCATTCAAGGCTTGCATTCTGCCACTTAAGCCACTGCTCCACATCTGGGATTTTGGTAATTAGTTGGAGGATTTGATCTGGCTTTGAACCAAAATGTTCAGATCTCAGCCTCCTCAGTAGCTAAGATCACTCGTGTGAGCCACTTGCACCTGACTTGTTATATTTTATTTCCCTCACGACCAGGATATGTTCAACATGTAACTTATGTAAGATGTCTTTTTTTTGGGGGGGGGGTCGGTCATGGGGCCTGAACTCTGGGCCCTGTCCTTCAGCTCAAGGCTAGTGCTCTACCACTTGAGCCAGAGTGCCACTTCTGGCTTTTTTCTTTTTGCTTATGTGGTGCTGAGGAATCGAACCGAGGGCCTCATGCATGCAAGGCAAGCACTCTACCATTGAGCCACCTTCCCAGCCCCGATGTCTTTTTTTTTTTACTCCACTAGTTCCCCTCTGTCTTCGACTCTGTCTCTCTCTTTAAAATTTTTAAATCTAGTGGATTCTCACTCAGTTCCTTAAGTTTAGACTTAGCTGACTATATCCCAGATGGCAGCGTGTTCCTCTGTTCTTTGTTTATCTCATAAATGGATAGGAGAGACTATCTGGTACAGGGTATTTTGAGATGAGATGGGACATGACTACTTCATGGGCAGTGTTGTCACCTCCAACATGAGGTCTGTAATGTTGCTTTGTCTATCTTTGGCTTATTTAGACTGGTTGTTGAGTCCTTTTAACATAAAACTACTAACCTTTTATAACTTCTGTGCTTTATGGTGTAACATGATGCTCTTGATTTATTGTATTCATTTCCTGCCCAAGTATGGACTTACCTTTTTCTTAAAGGAGCCCTAGCTTCTATAGTGTGAAAGCTAGAGGTAGTGTAAGTCACCTTAAGCTTGTTCTCTGTGTAGTCTGAGTTTAGGTTCTTCCTGTCTTGGATTACATTTGCATACAGTCTACTTTTAATTCAAGTATGGAACACAAATTCTTCTCTTCATTGTAACTGTTGAAGATACAATCAGGCTTGACCAGTTTTGAAAATTACTATAGTTGAATTGATGAAATGTCTTGTTTTGAGTAGCCCGGAAATCAGGCTGCTGTAAAAATATTTTTTTTTTCTTATATGGTGTGATCCGTTTTAGCTTCTACTGTGTATATTATTAATGGGTTTATTTATTTATTTATTTTTCCCTCTGTGCCTGGAGCTTAAATTCTGGGCTTGGGCACTGCCCTTTAGCTCCTTTTTGCTTAAGGCTAGTGCACTACCAGTTGAGCCACAGCACCACTTGCAGCTTTTTCTGATTAATTGGGAGATAAGAGTCTCAAGGCTTTTCCTGCTTGAGCTGGCTTCGAATCATGATCCTCAGATCTCAACCTCCTGAGAAGCTAGGATTATAGGCATGAGCAACTGGTTAGCTGTATCTTATGAGCCCAACTGAATTAGTCATTGGTAGTTTCTGGTTTTCAAAAATTGTGCAGAGCCAGGGGCCTGTGGCTCACGCCTATAATCCTAGCTACTCAGGAGTCGGAGATCTGAGGATCACGGTTCAAAGCCAGCCTGGGCAGGAAAGTCTGTGAGACTCTTATCTCAAATAAAACCACTAGAAAACCGGAAGTGGCGCTATGGCTCAAGCGGCGCTGTGGCTCAAGCGGTAGAGCACTCGCCTTGAGCTGAAGAGCGCAGGGACAGCACCTAAGCCCAGCCCAGAGTTCAAGCCCCACCACTGACCCAAAAAAAAAATTGTTCAGGTTATGAACAATAAAATATTTCTTTTAATATTACAAATCACCCCTGACCCTTTTTTTGAACTCCTCAGCCTCTCTTTCCTCAGCCTCTTGAGTGCTAAGATTACAAGTGTGTATCACTTGTGTCCAGGCCAAATCTATTTTTTTTCCTTCTTTGTGGGGAGGAGGTTGATAGTACACTAACCATACTGCTATCCTTGTCTGCATTTAGGTTATTTTTCATGTAGAAACTTGCTTCTTTCCTGGGCTGGCTTGTACCTTCTTTCTCGGACTTAACACCTCCCACCATAGCTGAGACACACATTACCATACTCACATTTTTTATTGAGATGTGAGATGTGGTCTTAATCCTGCCTAAGCTGACCTAAACCACAGTCTTGATCTCTGTTGCCCAGAAGCAAATAATAACTATAATATATACATTGTTCATGTCAGTTAACCTATCAGCACAAATATTTGTCGTATTTAGGCAAATAATTGTATTCATTTGCCTTATTATTGTGTGGGGTTTTGTTGTTGTTGTTGGTCCTGGTGGTGGTGCTAGTACTGGGCCTTGAACCCAGGGCCTGGACACTGGCACTAAACTTTTTTCACTCAAGGCTGGTACTTTACCACTTAAGCCACAGTTCTACTTCCAGCTTTTTGGTAGTTAATTGTAGCTAAGAGTCTTACAGAGCCTGGGCTGGCTTGGGACAGAGATCCTGGGGTCTTAGCTTCCTGAGTAGCTAGGATTATAGGCATGAGCCACCTATGCCTGCTTATTATGATTTTAAATACTTGGATCATACTTTTTAAAGAATTGGTGGTACTGTAGTTTGAACTTGCTTATATACAAGTGTTTTACCCCTTCAGCCACACACTTTTTTGCTTCAGTTATTTTTCAGATAAGGGTTTCCAGCCTTTTGCCTGGGGCCAGTGTTGGATTGTGTTTCTTTTCTCCCTTGTAGCTTAGGTGATAGGTATGCCTTGGTCCTCACAGTCTCTTGTCACTGGAATATCATGGATTTATACACATGAGCCTCAAGCTATATTCCTTTACTGACTGAAGCATTTTCAGGAATTCTTGGAGCATTTTCAGAAAATTTGAAATTCTCTGAACAGAATGTCTTCAGTTGGATTTTCATTTTTTGAATTTGAAATACTTAGTTTTAAAGAGAAGTTTTACTTTTAAAAACAATTTTGAAAAAGTATTTATTTTGGCTTTTTTGTCTTTTAAATTTGGCTAATGTAAGTGTTCAAAACTAGGTTTGAGCCCAGGGCCCCTACCCTTGAGTTCAGAATTCATTTGTAAATATTCTTGGTCTAGATAAATAAGACTTTATTTTGATGGTGTCACATAAGCATGCTTTTAGTATTTATTTTTTATTTTTATTATTGCAAGGTGATATATAGAGGGATTATAGTTACATAAGTCAGATCATGACTACATTTCTTTCTGAACAATTTCACCCCTTCCCTTGTTCAAGTATTCCTCCCCCCACCCCTCCCTTTTTTTTTTTTTGCCAGTCCTAGGGCTTGCACTAGGGCCTGGGCACTGTCCCTAAGCCTCTGGGTGCTCAAGGCTACCACTCTACCACTTGAATTATAGCTCCCCTTCCAGCTTTTTCTGAGTAGTTTATTGGAGATAAGAGTTTCACAGCCTTTCCTTCCTCCTGAGTAATTAGGATTACAGGTGTGAACCACCAGCTGCCTGTCAGTCTAGTATTTAGTTTTTAGGCTGGATTGCATTCAGTTTATAAAAGTTATATTCTTCAAGTTTTTAAGTGTGATAGTGTTGTTTATGTAAGTTTCTTTTCTAATTTTTTAATATGGTTATTTGAATGTTGATTTGTTTTAGACTTTTGTTTTTTAGAAATTGGTGATTTTGAGTTTTTTTTCTGCCCCACAGAGTTACAGTGAATGGTTACATGGATTTGAAAAGAAGGCAAAAGAATGTATAGCTGGAACTTCAGGTTCAGAGGAGTTTAAGGTTAGTTCAAGAAGTGAACTGTCTATATTTTAACCAATTTGAATTGTGAACTTTGGAATGGTAATGGATATATTATTAGTAGGCTAATGATGTTTTGAAGAAAGTGTATGAAGCTTGTTTCATTTTAGCAATTTAGATTTTAGCAATAATGTTACAGGTCTTCTGACATGTGATATGGGTATAAAGCTAATATTTCCCTTTCTCTAAATCTGTGTCTTAATCATTTAATATTTTAATTATCCTGCCTAAGTTTAAAGTAAAAATCAATTGTAGATAGAATCTCACTCATTTAAATAGTACTGTCAGTAAACAATAAATGATCAAAATTGACTTCATTATTACTTGGAAAGATTGAAATTTAATGTTTTGTTATAGATAATTTGAAGTTATAATGCAACATTAAGTGAAGAAACAAATTTAAAGCACAAAAAAACTGGTAAAAATTAGAGATTTTTCTTTATTTCATTTTCAGGTTCTAGAGCACAAATTGAAAGAAGCAGACGAAATGCATACATTGTTACAGCTAGAATGTGAAAAATATAAATCCGTCCTTGCAGAAACAGTAGGAAATGATTTTTAATCTACATCTTTATTTTTAAATTAGCAACTTATTCCTTTTTGTCCCAAGTAGTTTTTTTGGCATTAGAATGTGAATTTCTCAAAACAGCTATACTTTCATCTGTAGGAAGGAATTTTACAGAAGCTGCAAAGAAGTGTTGAACAAGAAGAAAATAAATGGAAGGTGAAGGTTGATGAATCACAGAAGACTATTAAGCAGGTATTTTGTGAAGTGCTTATAGCACCTCTCAAATGTGAGGCCTGGGCCAGCTGAATCAGTGTCACCTAGGAATGTATGAGGTATACCCCAGACTTACTGATTTGAAACATATCCGCCATCTGTGGTTCAGTGATCCTTCCCGGTATTTTGATGCCCATCACATTTGAAAATCATTAGTTTAGAGCTGGGTGCCAATGGCACATTCCTGTAATCCTAGCATCTCAGGAAGCTGAGATCTGAGGATCAAGGTTTGAAGCCAGCCATAGCAGGAAAATTCCATGAAACTCTTACCTCCAGTTAACCACTAAAAAGCCAGAAGTGGTGCTGTGGCTCAAGGAGTAGAATGCTATCTTTGAGCCAAAAAGCTCAGGTACAGCATCCAGGCCCTGAGTTCAAGCCTCAGGATCAACACACACAAAAAGAAATCATAGCTTTTAAAGTATATCCAAAAAGCAATGATGGAGAATCTGAAGGATTTGAAAATTATAGACCTTGGGGGCTGGGAAGGTGGCTCAGTGGTAGAGCACTTGCCTTGCATGCTCAAGGCCCTGGGTTCGATTCCTCAGCACCACATAAGCAAAAAGAAAAAGGCCGGAAGTGGCGCTGTGGCTCAAGTAGTAGAGCGCTAGCTTTGAGCTGAAGAGCTGAGGGACAGTGCCCAGGCCCAGAGTTCAGGCCCCATGACCGGACCCAAAAAAAAAAAAAGAAAATTATAGAACTGCTGTGTGATAATGCAAGGTGGAACATTCTGTCATAGTTTTAAAGTACTGCTATTTGATCCATGATATGTAGTCAAGAAAAATTACCATTCACTTTGATTTTTCTTCTCATTTATGTGGGTGAGGTAGTGTTACCTGTTACTTATTGGGCTAGTATGTATAGGCTATATGTCACTAATGATACTCTGTTTGTTTAGTTTTTTTTGGGGGGGGGTCCAGTTGTGGGGCCTAAACTTTGGGCCTGGGCACTGTCCCTCAGCTCTTAAGCTCAAGGCTAGCGCTCTACCACTTTAGCCACAGCGCCACTTCTGGCTTTTTTCTTTTTGCTTATGTGGTGCTGAGGAATCGAACCCAGGGCCTCAGGCAAGCAAGGCAAGCGCTCTACCACTGAGCCAACTTCCCAGCCCCCTGGGGAGAAATATTTTAATGTTACATAATGATACATACT